CCCAAATAGACAAAGCAATGTTGAAAAAGAAAACCAAAGCAGGAGGCATCACAATCCCAGACTTCAAGCTGTATTACAAAGCTGTAATCATCAAGAAAGTATGGTACTGGCACAAGAACAGACACTCAGATCAATGGAACAGAATAGAGAACCCAGAAATGGACCCACAAACATATGGCCAACTCATCTTTGACAAAGCAGGAAGGAGTATCCAACGAAATAAAGAGTTTCTTCAGCAAATGGTGCCGGGAAAACTGGACAGTGACATACAGAAAAATGAACCTGGACCACTTTCTTACACCATACACAAAAATAAACTCAAAATGGATGAAAGACCTAAGGGTAAGACAGGAAGCCATCAAAATCCTTGAGGAGAAAGCAGGCAAAAACCTCTTTGACCTCAGCGGCTGCAACTTCTTACTCAGCACGTCTCCAGAGGCAAGGGAAACAAAAACAAAAATGAACTATTGGGACTTCATCAAAATGAAAGCTTCTGCACAGTGAAGGAAACAATCAGCAAAACTAAAAGGCAACCAATGGAATGGGAGAAGATATTTGGAAATTACCTATCAGATAAAGGGTTAGCATCCAAAATCTATAAAGAACTTATCAAACTCAACACCCAAAAAACAAATAATCCAGTGAAGGAATGGGGAAAAGACATGAATAGACACTTCTCCAAAGAAGACATCCAGATGGCCAACTGACACATGAAAAAATGCTCAACATCACTCATCATCAGGGAAATACAAATCAAAACCGCAAGGAGAAAACACCTCACCCCTGTCAGAATGGCTAACGTGAACAACTCAGGCAACAACAGATGTGGCGAGGATGCGGAGAAAGAGGATCTCTTTTGCATTGTTGGTGGGAATGCAAGCTGGTGCAGCCACTCTGGAAAACAGGATGGAGGTTCCTCAAAAAATTGAAAATAGAACTACCCTATGACCCAGCAATTGCACTACTAGGCATTTATCCACGGGATACAGGTATGCTGTTTCGAAGGGACACATGCACCCCATGTTTACGGCAGCACTATCAACAATAGCCAAAGTATGGAAAGAGCCCAAATGTCTATCGATGGATGAATGGATAAAGAAGATGTGGTGTATATATATATATATATATATATACACACACACACACACACACACACACACACACACACACAATGGAGTATTACTTGGCAATCAAAAAGAATGAAATCTTACATTTACAATTACGTGGATGGAACTGGAGGGTATTATGCTAAGTGAAATTAGTCAGAGAAAGACAAATATCTAATGATCACTCATATGAGGAATTTAAGATACAAAACAGTTGAATGTAAGGGAAGAGAAGCAAAAAGAATATAAAAACAGGGAGGGGGACAACACATAAGAGACTCTTAAATATGGAAAACAGAGGGTTGCTGGAGGGATTGGGGGAGGGGGGAGGGGCTAAATGGGGAAGGGGTTTAAGGAATCTACTCCTGAAATCATTGTTGCACTAGATGCTAACTTGGACACAAATTTAAAAAATAATTAATTAATTAATTAAAAAGAAAAAGTCTTAAAAGCAAGGAAAGAAACACTGAGGCATTATAGATAGGGGAACACTCACTCAAATGGTGAAAGCTTTCACCAGGGATAGCAGAATAACATCTTAAAGAGCAGAAAGTAGAAAACTATTATCTCAGAATTCAGTAACCAAGAAAAATGCCTTCAGTAATTAAGGTAAAATAAAAATAGTCTCAGATGAAGGAAAACCAATAACACATCACTAGGATATCTGCTTTGCAGCTAAAGGGACTTCTTCAGTCTGAGAGAAAATGATACCAGAGAAAAACCTGAAAATTCAGGAATGAAGGAACGTCAATAAAAATGATAAATCAGGGGCACCTGGGTGGCTCAGTTGGTTAAGCATCCCAATTCGGCTCAGGTCATGATCTTGCAGTTTGTGGGTTTGAGCCCCATGTCAGGCTCTGTGCTGACAGCTCAGAGCCTGGAGCCTGCTTCAGATTCTGTATCTCCCTCTCTCTCTACCCCTCCCCAGCTCTCTCTCTCTCTCTCTCTCAAAAATAAATAAAGATTAAAAAATGATAAATCAGTGTAAATATAAGAGACCCTTTTTCTCCTTTTAAATTACTTAAAATGTGTGTAACTATTGAAACCAAAAGTTGACTTTGTATAGTTTTCAATGTAGACAAAGGTAATACACATGAAAACATTAATATAAAGTGGGAAGGGCAAAGGGATCCATACAACTGTAAACCTTTTACATTTTACTTGCAGTAGTAAAATATCAATTCTAAGTACACTGTAAAAAGGTAGGTGCATTGTAATTCTTATAAAAGCCACCAAAAATATAAAAATATGTAGCCAAAAAGCAAAGAGATATACTAAAATGGAATACTAAAGAAATTTCAAAGTAAAGAGTATATAAATTGACCCAATTCAATGCTAAAAGGGTAGTCTTTTCAACAAATATTGCAGGAAATATTGGATATTTGTATGCAAAAAAGAACCCACCCTTATCTTACACCTTATCCAAAAATTAACCCAAAATAGATTACCAACTTAAATGGAAAATGGAAAAATTCCTACGAAAGATCTTTGTGACAACAAAAGCCTGATACACAAAAGAAAACTGATGAATTGAACTTCTTCAACATTTAAAAAAGACAACAACCTTTTTTCTGCATTAGACACAGCTAAGAGAAGAAAAAGGTGACCCACAGACTGGAAGGAAATATTTGTCAGCTCCATATCTGACCAGAGAGTTCTATTGAGGATACATATTAAAACTCTCAAAACTCAACAATATCCAAGAAATGGGAAAGGGTTTCAACAGACCCTTTGCCAAAGAAGACATACAGCTGGCAAATAAGCCGGTGAAAAGCTGCTCCACCTCATTCATCTTTAGAGAAATGTAAGAGAAATCCTCAATGAGATACCACTACATACATATTATAATGGCTAGTGATAATTTTGCAAAGACAATAGCAAATGCTGGTGAGGATGAAGAGCAACTGTAACTTTGCTACATTGTTAGTAGGAATGCAAAGTAGTGTAGCCATTTTGTAAAAAATGTTGGGTAGCTTCTTACAATGTTAAACAGACACTTACATAGGACAAAGCAATCCCACTCCTGAGAAATGAAAAGTTTTGGTCACACAAAATCCTGTACAGAATGTTTATAGCAACATAATACATAATCTTCAAAACCTGGAACCATTGGCGGTGGGGGGGCACCTAGGTGGCTCAGTCGGTTAAGCATCTGACTTCAGTTCAGGTCATGATCTCCCGGTTAGCGAGTTCAGGCCCGGCATTGGGTTCTGTGCTATCAGCTCAGAGCCTGAAGCCTGCTTCGGATTCTGTGTCTTCCTCTCTCTCTGCCCCTCCTTGGCTCTCTCACGCTCGCTCGCTCTCGCTCTCGCTCTCTTGCTCTCTCTCTCTCTCTCTCTGTGACTGTCTCTCAAAAATAAACATTAAAAAAATAAATAAAATTAAAAAAAAACTGGAACCACCCAAAAGCTATTTTGATGAGTGAATGGATGAGCAAATTGTAGTACATACACACAATTGAACACTACTCACCAATAATATGCACTAAATCATATGTAGAATACACATAAAATTTGATTTGCCACTAGGATGATGAAAGAATAATTTTTTTCTGTAAATGGTGCTGGGATAATTGAGTATCAAGTGATACTCCAGTGATACGCAAGTGAATGACCCTCTAACTTACCCCTTGTATAATCAACTCTGAGTGGGTTGGAGACTGACACGTGAAAAGGCAAAAGTATAATGCTTTTTCAGAATAATACAGGAGAGCATCATCTATGGAAAGATTTCTTAAGAGACACAAAAGGCATTAAGCATAAATAAATGCTTGATAAATTCTTTCAAGTTTAACTTATATCAATGTTCCATAGAACTTTTCCATAAAACTACCTTAAAATGAAAATTTTCCATGCACCAAAAGACACAATAGACAACCTATAATAGAATGTAAGGAGATATTTGCAACATGTATGATTAGTATTCATATCGGGAATATAAAGAGCTCCAAAAACTAAGAAAAAAATAAGCAAAAGACATGAAGTTCAAATAGTTCATATACATACGGAAGAAGTGCAAGATCAGAAGGGTGTCTCAGGCATCTAGGTGCCGGCAAGGTTCTTTATTAACCTGATTGCTGATTACACAGATATTTGATTTATAATTATTCATGATTTCATACATTTATGTTCTGGTTGTATACCATATATTTCATAAGAAAAAAAATATATATATATGCATAGCCAATTATTTTACACCATTTCATAAGAAATTTTTTACACCATATTTCATAAGAATACAAAAAAATATATATACACACATATATATATACACATATATATACACATATATATATATGTGTATATATATATATAGCCAATTATTTTACACCATTTCCCAGCAAAAATAGATACAGGATGGTAAATTGTCCTTAGCTTTTTTTGTAACAGGTGTTTACCTTAAGGAGGGGGTAAGGGGCGCCTGGGTGGCTCAGTCAGTTGAGTGTCCACCTCGTGATTTCAGGTCAGGTCATGATCCCAGGGTCATAAGATCAAGCCCCACATTGGGCTCCACACTGAGCATGGAGCCTGCTTAACATTCTATGTCTCTCTCTCTCTCCCCCTGCTCATGTGCACTCTCTCTTTCTCTCTCTCTAAAATAAAACAAGGGGTGGGTGGGGAAATGAATTGTTCTAAATCACTGGTGCTACAAAAAACAATTTTTAATAAATTTTAAGTTTTTCACAAGTTTTCTTCCTAGTCAAGTTCAAATTACCTGTGTTTTCACCCACACTTAATTCTTGGAGTAAGAGTATGTGAGTTTGTAATCTAGCTCAATTTCTTCCTAGCCATAGATCCTGGCTAAACAAGTTACTTTTCCTCTTTGAACCTGCTTCGTCTTCTTTATGTGGGTAATAAGTGTGCCTATTCTGATTCTGGTGAGGATTAAATGAACTACTTCATATAGAGTGGTAGCAACAAGCCTAGCACACAGTAAACACTCAATACATGGCAATTATAATAGCTACTATTATCATTATATAATTATAATCTTACTCCCCAACCAATTTAGGTAAGAGCACTCAGCCAGTCCTGGATTGCATTCCAGCCTTTGCTACTTAGCAGTTGGTGATCTTGAACAAGTTCTTTAACTTCTGAGAGCCTCAATTTCAACATATGAAAAATGGAGATAAATGTATCTCTTTAGTTGTAGGACTCAAGTGAGAAAATGTATGCAAAATCTCAGCATCTGAAATATAGCAGATAGCCCTAGGCACAACTGTATCACAGCAGAGGAGCCCCCTGTGGTATAACACCATGGCAGAAACTCAGAGAGCAAGTTCTCAATGCAGATTTCCTAAATGGTTTCCCATTGAGCCTGTGCTCTTTGAGCATTCTCAAGATGTTATAGCTACAGCTGTTCCTCTATTTCTTGTCTAATATGATGTCCCTATTCCGCAGCCCCAAGCTTTCATTCTGTTGATTGATGCTGATATGCTAATAGAAACTGCAGAAAATTGCACACATTCTGAAAATTAATTTAATTATGTGCCCAATCATCTGTCACTTGACTCAGACCATGATATCAATTCTATGACCTTGATAAGTCACTAGTTTTGTGACCTTTCAAGACCTGTTACTACATCTGTAAAAGAGGGATGGTAATACTGAAACCTTCCTGAGGCCTTCTAATATTGGGTACTAACACAAGCGCTTAATATATAATAACACTTTTAATACCCATACACCATAAAAGATGAGGAGTAGTATTGTTGTTGTTATTTCCATTTTACACGAGAAAATTGAAACTCAAAGAGGTTATACTATAGCAAAATCAAGGTTCAAGTCCAGGTCTCTCTATTGCCAAAACCCAATCTACTACACCTTCCTGATTCTCAATTAATGGAATACCTACTGTGTGTTAGGCAATCTATATTCATCATCCTTATAAATTTATAAGATAAAAGGAGCTATTGTTTGTAAAATCCTTGGCACAGAGCCTGACATGAAGTAGGCACACACAAAAAAGTGAAATGCTTGTGGCTTTCCAACTTTCTTCCAGCGCTGTCTTTCAAAACAAAAAAACAAAAAACAAAACAGCCAAACCAGACAGAATTCTTTTGACGGGATAACAGGAGCTGCAAGGCTTCTATTCTCCCCACATATCTAATATTCTCTCTACATATCTAACATTGAGTCCATCTGTACAGTAATATATGTAGTAACATTGTTACAGAAATATCTTATAATGTGAGCTACTAGAAGCACATTTCACACAGAAAAGGAATCAAACTGACTCATTTTTTAAATTGTGCAAAACAAATGATACTCAAATTTTTATGTCATAGCAAAAACTCATGAGCTCATGAGGACAGTCATTCTTGGTGTATCAGAGGACTCCTTGAGCCTCCTAATATTCTATGTAAAATGTCTGAGTTTTGATCACCAGCTCATTTTTTCTGGGAATAGGATTCTTAACTTTCATAGAATTTGTATAGGATTCACAACCCCCAGTGCTTCAGAAAAATCATTATAAATTCAATTTCTCCAAAGACTGGGTGTTTTAAATGACTGTTCTTGACCCCACTGATGAAGAAGGGACCTTGCACTAGGGTTAAACACATGACACTTGATACTGGACAGATGAGACCAACAGCATTTTATTAATCACTTATACTCACAGCCGAGGAGAAACTCAAAAATGGATGGTGATGTGATATCACCTCATACTTTTTGAATGGCTATCATCAAGAAGACAAGAGATAATAAGTGTTAGCAAGGATGTAGAAAAAATAAATCCTTGTGTACTTTTGGTGGGAGTGTAAATTGGTACAGCCACTATGGAAAACAGTTTGGAGGTTTCTCAAAAAATTTTTTAAAATGGATTTACCATATGATCCAGCCATCCTACTTCTGGGTATATATACAAAGGAAATGAAAACAGTACATCAAAAAGATATCTGACATGCACCCCTATGTCTATTGCAGCATTATTTACAAAAGCCAAGAGATGGAAGCAGCCGAACTGTCTATACCCAATGGAATATTATTCACCAATAAAAAAGAATGAAATTTTGCCATTTGCAGCAACATGGATGGAATTAAAGAGTGTAATGCAAAGCAAAATAAGTCAGACAGAGAAAGACAAAAACAATATGATTTCACTCATATCTGGAATTTAAGAAACAAAACAAAGGGGAAGAGAGAGAAAGAAACCAAGAATCAGACTCTTAACTATAGAGAACAAACTGATGGTTACCGGAGGGGAGGTGGGTGGGGGGATGGGCGAAACAAGTGATGGGGATTAAGGAGGGCATTTGTCATGATGAGCACAGGGTGACGTATGGAAGTGATGAATCACACTGTATTGTACACCTGAAACTAATATTACACTGTATGTTAATTATACTGAAATTAAAATTTAAAACTTAATAAACATATCTGCATTCCCATGTTTATTACAGCATTGTCCACAATAACCCAAGACATGGAAACAACCTGGGGTGCCTGGGTGGCTCAGTCGGTTAATTGTCTGACTCTTGGTTTCAACTCAGGTCATGATCTCATGATTCGTGAGTTCAAGCCCCACATTGGGCTCTGTGCTAACAGTGCAGAACCTGCTTGGGATTCTCCCTCTCTCTTTGCCCCACCCCCTTCTCTCTCTCTCTCTCTCTCTCTCTCTCTCTCTCTCTCTCCCTCTCTCTCTCTCTCTCTCTCTCCCTCTCTCTCTCTCTCAAAATAAATAAACTTAAAAAAATTTAAGAAAAAAAGACATGGAAAGAACCTAAGTGACTATCAATGGATGGATGGATAAAGAAAATGTGGTGTATATGAATACAGACAGTGGAATATTATTCAGCCACAGAAAAGAAACAAATCCTTCCATTTGCAACAACATGGATAGACTTTGAGAGCATTATGGTGAGAGACATTAGACAGAGAAGGACAAATACTGTATGATCTCACTTATACAGTAAAACCTTGGTTTGAGAGCTTAATTCATTCCAGAAACATGCTTGTAATCCAAAGCACTTGGATATCAAAGTGAATTTCCCAATACGAAATCATGGAAATTCAGAAGATTTGTTCAACAACCCAAAAATATTCATATAAAAAATGATTATAATACTGTAATATAATATAAAATAATAAAGAAAATACAAAATATAAAGAAAAATAAACAAATTAACCTGCGCTTACCTTTGAAAGCCTTCGTGGCTGGTGTCAGGGAGATAAGAGAGAGGAGAGTTATTGTTTAGGATGACTTTCGCTATCACTAGTAGAATCACTGCTATCTATTGGCTCAAAGGAATCTTTCTTTCGTGTGTAACTTTAACAAGTAACCTATCCAATGACACTTGCTTTTGCCTCCTTTTGAGGATTTCATGGATATGTGACATTGCATTGTCATTCAATAGATTCATCACTTATACTGCTACAGCATTACTCAGGTGGTGCTTTTCTTTTTTTTTTTTTTAAGTTTATTTATTTATTTTGAGAGAGAGACAGAGAGAGACAGAGAGAGAGACAGAAAACTAGCAGGGGAGGGGCAGAGAGAGAGGAAGAGAGAATCCCAAGCTCTGTGCTAACAGCACAGAGCTCAATGTAGGTAGGGCTCTATCTCACGACCATGAGATCATGACCTGAGCCTATCTCAAGAGTCAGATGCTTAACCAACTGAGCCACCCAGGTGCCTGCCGGGTGGTGCTTTTCTACAAAATTTTGCACTGCTTCCCACATTTTACACGTCTCCCTAATCTCATTTGAAGTAAGGGATTCCTCTGCTTTTTTTTCCTCCTCCCCTGCAGATGAGATGCAGACATATACTTCTTATATAATCTTGCAATTTTGGCTATTCACATACGTCATTTGTACTTCTCAATGATTTCTTTCTTAACATCCACCGTAATCATCTCCTTCTTACTGCCTTCCTTTTCAAACTTTTTCTGCATGGGAGCCATTTTATATGCTCGCATGGATGTTGACTACAGTGCAGCATTAATAAACTCTTGTCATATACTGTATTTAATGTAACTGGCAAAAAGGCAACAGAGGAAAGGGTCTCTATGTGCAGGCAACCTGACCTAGAATGAAGCAAAACATTCCTAAGCTCACTCTTGACTGGAAAAACAAAAAACTATCCATAGGTGCTTTGAAGTGACAAAAAATACACTAGTGTCAGTTGTGGGCACCTTCCAATGTTCTGAAAAAGCACTGATTTCTGCTAAACACCGTGGCCTGAGACTGAGCATCCGAGCATAAGAGACAATCACTCACAATCCCACAGTGAGAGAGAGTGAGAGAGAGGAACCATTGGCTCAGTTGTGATCATGTGACATCTGGCATCATGTACTACATGTATTACAAGATATTGCTCATTTATCAAATTAAAATTTATTAGAAATACTTGCTGATCTTGTGGAACCCTTGCAGAACAACTTACTCACAATCTAAGGTTTTACTGTATATGGAATCTAAAAGAGCCAGACTTGTATAAAGAGTAGAATGGTGGTTATCAGGGGCTGGGAGTCAGGGAAATGGCAGAAATGTTGGTCAAAGAGTACAAACTTTCAATTAGAAGATAATTAAGTTCTGGATATCTAATGCACAGCATTGTGACCGTAATCAACAATACAAGTTGCTAAGAGACTAGGTCTTAAATGTTTTTTCACCACAAAAATAAAATGGTAATTATGTGACACGATGGAGGTGTTAACTAACATCATGGTGGTAATCATATTGCAACGTGTAGATCAAAATATTGTACACCTTAAACTTACACAATGTTATATGTCAATTATATGTCAATAAACAAAATGAATCCTGAACCGGTGACCCACTTTTGAAATGGGCCTGTGAGATATAAGCTGTGCTGAGCTTAATACATGGAAAGGCTTATTTTCATCTAACAAATTCTTTTCTGGCTGTACTTCTCTACTTGTCACCTGTTATGCATTTAAACAACGTCCTTTCCGTTAGAGAGACGCAACCGTGCTGGTTTTGAGGATGCACGAAGGAAGGTGCCATGAACCAAAGAATGCAGGTGGCCTCCAGAAAGCACAAACACCAGGAAATGATTTCTTCCCTAGAGCCTCTAAAGAGAACGCAGCGCTGTGATCACCTTAAATTTAGCGCAGTGAGACTCATTTCAGATTTCTACCCTATAGAACTATAATATAAACATGTGTTGTTTAAATCACTGTCTGTGGCAATTTGTTACAGCAGCAATAGGAAACTAAAACGGTCAGCAAAGAATTCTATCACTTTTCAGCACCCTTCCTCCCCTAAACCCCCTTTCCCTTCCTATGTGATTCATAACCTTATTTAAATGCTGGAAACTTAGGGAGACAGATTAGCGAACGACAAACGTCACAGCTCCTGCTTTAATAGATTTCCTCAGTGAAGACACAAGGACTAAGAAAACATATTTTTAATCTTTTGCTCACTTAAAACTAACTAGAAAAATATTGTGACAGATGGTGTCCCTCATGCTGCCTTAGCATTCTGGCATGTTCCATTTAATATATCTCTCCATTTAATATATCTCTTATGTTCCCAACTCAGAGCAGAAAATCCAATTACTGTAAGAGCATTGTAGTGTTTTTGACAACTTCACTTTGGTACATTTTAACTGAAGAAGTGAGTGGACATAGTGACCACTTACAGATGAGAACCAAGGGAGCTGGAAATTAATGTACTTTGAGTAAACAGAATGAACACTCATGTCTAAGGCCTGTGAGCCACTACTGAGGAAAGAGTGGGTAGCACTGCATGGATTTTAGTCTCAGCCTCCTTTCTCCAGAGCACATTCCACAAACTGTAACAACTCTGTGAATTGTGCCACATGACTCATATTCCCAGAAAATATCAAATAACCAATCTTATCACTGCAGTTACCTTTCCAGTGACTCACTTTGGAAGCAAGACTGGGGATTATCACTTCCTTGTTTAAAACCCAAAGACATTTTAAAAATGTGTCTAAAATAACTCCAAAACAGTTTTCTGTGTTGATCTGAACTGGCAAGTTATTAACAAGATCTGTTCAGTCAAAATGCACAATCCAGAGTGCTGGAGTTCCCAGAGACCTTGGGGTCTCAAATTTGCTCAAATAACTTCATCTCTCTGGGTAAGGAAATTGACAGGGGACTTGCCAAAGATCACCCAACTAGATAAGGGTAGAACTGAGGCTTCAGCCTGGATCCATAAATTCCTGCTTTTTCTTTCCCTGTTTAGGGGAAAAGTAATCATTTGTAAAAAGTTTCCTAATACATGAGAAAGCTTCCCATAATCCCATCATCTAACACAATTACAGTATTTTTTTGCCATATTACATTCTATACATAATTTTTACACAATCACAACTGCAACGTACAAGGGAATTCAGGACAGTGTCAGTTTCAAAAGGCATATTCAAAAATTAATAGCTTCCCCATACAAATGTAAAAAAGGAAATCAAAAAGGGGCCCCTGGGTGGCTCAGTTGATTAAGCGTCCAACTTCAGCTCAGGTCATGATCTCACGGTTTGTGGGTTTGAGCCCCGCATCGGGCTCTGTGCTGACAGCTCGGAGCCTGGAGCCTGCTTCTGATTCTGTGTCTCCCTCTCTCTCTCTGCTCCCCTGCTCATGCTCTGTCTCTCTCTGTCTCTCAAAAATAAATGTAAAAAAAAAATGTTTTTAATAAAAAAAAAGGAAATCAAAAAAGTATTAAAAGAAAATATGGGTAAAGAGTCATATTAATATTGGGATGAAAAGATTCCTTCTAAGTACATATAAAAACCATGAAGGAAACGTGCACAAGACTTTACTACATGAAAATGTTCACTTATTTTGAGGATTAAATAAAGCTATTTCAATAAATATAATAATTAAAATTGAGATTACAAATGATAACTACAGCAGGCTGAGCATCCAGTATATTTTGTTTTGATTTTAAGGACTCAAGGAAGCTTTAATTCACAAAGGTAAGTAGTTAACATTAAGTTAATAGTTCTGATGGATTCTTTATTTTTACAGCCTGCTTTCCCATCCAGAATAGTTTTCTATTAAATTGATCTAGAAGCTAGAAAAGAGAGTGGTAGAAATTGTTTAGACAATATGTAACAATAACTCAGAATCTCTAATTACAAATGGTTTTCTTTGAAGAGAGTTAATGAATAGGTTCTCAACCAGTCTAAATCTTCATTGTTTAACAGCAAATATTTTTTTCAAACATCTTCAAATACTCTTAGATGTTTAACAATGCCACTTGATAAAACTTCACATTCCTCAGTGGTTGTCTTTATCAAATAGTTCTTCAAAGCTTCAAAAGCATCTAATTCATTTATTTTGATTGTGCCTATTGAATAAAATTTGACATCAGTTTCAACACTGACACTTCATTGCAGTTATAAACACAATAATTCTTCAAGTCTACAATGCTAAACTGAAGTTGTTCCACTCATTAGAAGTTTCACACACACACACAAAAATACAAGTTGGATTGACCATTTTGTATTTGAGAAAAATTCATTTAATGGAGTTGTCAAAAGGGTAGGGTTTGGGTTCTCTGGGGTTTTGGGGGGAGCGTTTATTTTTTGTGCCTAAATGAAACATTCATACCCTTGGCTCAGTATAGCCAATGAACTTGAGCATGAAAAATAAACTCTGGAACACACTGCCCACATCATTAGGAATCACTGACAAATGCTGGGGCACCTGGGTGGCTCAGGTGGTTAAGCGTCCGGCTTCGGCTCAGGTCATGGTCTCACAGTTTGTGAGTTCAAGCCCAGCTTCAGGCTCTGTGCTGACAGCTCAGAGCCTGGAGCCTGCTTCAGATTCTGTCTCCCTCTCTCTCTGCCCCACCCCTGCTTGCGCTGTCTCTCTCTGTCTCTCAAAAATAAATAAATGTTATAAATTAAAAAAAAAAAAAGAAATCACTGACAAATGTCAAATTAGTCAATGGTGTCATGAAAACAACAAATTATATGCCATCATTTTACATAATCTTGAAACTTATTTGATAGGGAAAACACTTGTGAGGAAACAGAGAGAAGGAGCTGGAGGAGGTAGGGAGAGCCTCCTACCATGATGCAGGTCTGAACCTTATAAAGAAGAGAGGGAAGGAAAGAGAGGTAGGGAGAGTTTAAGAATATAGTCCAGCTCTAGAAAAGTTCTGACGAGACTAATGAGGTGTCCTCTAGCCAAAGCCTTCCATTACAGGAATCCTGCATCTTCGAGGAATGGATCTGCCTCAGCATCTTGGCTGCGCTCAGTCATTGCCTGAGAACAGTCATGAGAAGCATGGCCTTGGCATAAACCTAGCAATGGGTTTCAGAGCACAGCAGCTGGAACTGTCTGTAAATTCTTCTCTCTGCAGCAGGAGATCTCTGAAAGCATTTGCATGACTGCCAAAGTGGTGGCATATAAGGACA